GTGTAAGTTCCCTGGTTTATTAAACCTGCCACCAACCAGGAGAAAAGCAGTTACTTACCTACAAGGAAGCTTCCTGAGACTCTCAGATGATTTCCCAACAGAAATTTTGCTGGCCAGAAGGGATCGGCACAAAAATATTTCAAGGGACGAAAAGCCAGGACCTACAGCCAAGGTCACTCTACCCAGCAAAGCTGTCATTTAGGATCAAAGCACAGATAGAGCTTCCAAGACAAGAAAAAGCTAAAAGATTTGCTCATCACCAAACTAGTATTACAAGAAATCTTGAAGGTTCTTTTTTAAGAAGGAAAAAAGGATTAAAAATACAAATAATAAAATGGTAGTAAGTACATATCTATTAACAATTACAATTACTGTACATGCAAATAGATGAAGTGTTCCATGTAAAGGACATATGGTGAATGAATGAATAACAAAACAAGACCCTTACACGTACAAGAGGCTCACTTCAGATAGAAAGATACATACAGACTGAAGGTGGAGGGATGGGGGAAGATGTTTCATAAAAATGGAAACAAACAAAAAAACTGGGGCAGCAATACTTGTACCAGACAAAATAGATTTTGAAACAAAGGCTCTAACGAGAGACAAAGAAAGACCAGCAATTCCACTTCTGGGTATTTATCTGAAGAAACCCAAAACACTAACTTGAAAAGACATACATGTCCACATGTTCACTGCGGCATTATTTACAACAGCCAAGACAGGGACCCAAAGGGTCCCTCAACAGATGAGTGGGTGAAGAAGAAGGGGTGCATCCAAACAACGGAATATGATTCAGCTGTAAAAAAGAATGCAGCCTTGCCCCCTACAACCACGTGGATGGACCGAGAGGGTGCTGTGCTAGGAAACAACTCAGACAGGGACAGACATGTGCCATGTGATTCCACTTATACGTGGGATTTAAGAAACAAAACAAAACGACAATGAACAAACGGAACTGAAACAGACTCCAAGACACAGAGAACATTTTGACAGTTGCCAGATGGGAAGGAATTGAGGGGATGGTGGAAAAGGCAAGGGGATTAAGAAGTACAAATTGGTAGTTACAGAATCGCCACGGGGATGTGAATTGCAACATAGAGAATATAGACAACAATATTGTAAAAACTATGTATGGTGCCAGGTGAGCACTAGATTAATCAAGGTGATGACTTCACATTGCATAAACGTCTAATCACTGCCCTGGCTGGTGTGGCTCAGTGGATTGAGCACCGGCCTGCAAACCAAGGGGTTGATGGTTCGATTCCCAATCAGGGCACATGCCTGGGATGTAGGTCAGGTCTCCAGTAGGGAGCACATAAGAGGCAACCACACATTGACATTTCTCTCCCTCTCTTTCTCCTTCCTTTCCCCTCTCTAAAAAGAAATAAATAAAATCTTTTAAAAAAAAGCTTAATACTATGTTGTATACCTGAAATGAATATATTATGTCAACTGTAACTGAAAAATTTTAAAAATTATTTAAAAAATAAATTCTGGCCCTGACTGGCATAGCTCAGTAGATTGAGCACGGGCCTGCGAACCAAAGGATCACAGTTTGATTCCCAGTCAGGGCACATGCCTGAGTTGCAGGCCAGTTCCTAGCAGGGGACACAAGAGAAGCAACCATACATTGATATTTCTCTTCCTCTCTCCTTCCCTTCCCCTCTAAAGATAAATAAATAAAAATCTTTTAAAAATAATAAATTCTGTAGTTAACCTATGAATAGCATAATAGGATTGCTGGACATTGTCATTTGTGATAGAATATTAAGATAAAGTTAACTCAAAAAAAAAAAACCCCTGCCACCTATCAATCTGGCGTGACCTGTCCACTCCAGGGGGAGTGGGTCTTTCCTTGCCCTCCGTGTCCAGGGCCGGTTTGTAAACCAGCCCCAAGGTTTTTCATCCCTACTTCAGTCCTCTGAACAGTTGACTCCATCTTTCTTTTTTTTAATTTCAACATACATTTATTGAACATCAGCAAGGACTGGATTTGGGAAGGACAAATGTCTATCGACTGTGTGGGTGGGTAAGCAAACAATCTCACCACTCAGTGCAATCCGCTCCCTCAGTGAATGCTAAGAGCCTACTCGGAGCAGTCCAGTGCGAAGCTCTGGAAATAAAAAAAGTGAATAGAACAGCCCTGGCTGCGTGGCTCAGTTGGCTGGAGCATCCCACACACCAAACAGGTTTTGGGTTTGATCGCCCCTAGGGGTGCATATGGGAGGCGACCAATTGGTATTTCTCTCTCACATTGATGTTTCTCTCTTTCTCCCTGCCTTTCTCTCTAAAATCAATAAGCTTATCCTTGGCTGAGTATTAAAAGAAAAGTGAACAGGACACGGTTGCATGCCTTTGGAGCCCAGGTGTTGCCATCACGCACCGGCACTTGGGCGGAGTGTGAGAAATCATTTGGCTCCTTTCTTCCCTAAGTAGTTCTTCCTCTTGGCTGAGAGCATGGTTTTAATCTGACCCGGCTACAAAGCTTGGGTATGTTCAGGTCATGCAGCTGAGTTCCCTCTGGGCCACCAGGAGCTTCTCCCACAAGGGACAAGTAGACAAGAGCCTGATTGTCAAGGATAAAGAATTTTTCTTTTGGTTCTGCGACACCAGTGCCAGCTGAGAGTGGCCGGGCTTATCTAGCACAGAGGAGATTCACATTACAGAAGAGCTGACAGATTTGTCCAAGTGACAGCCAGAAATGGGTCGGCAGCCCATTCCATTCACCCCAGGGAGAAGTAGAGGTCTTGTTCTAGTGGTAAAACAGTAACCAGCCATAGTGGAAAAGTTCGAGGTCAGCCACTGGGAGAAGCTACCCCTGGGCTGACCCCAGACAGCACCTGGGGAATGATGTGCGCAGGTCTGGCCTCTCGTGGGGCTCCAGGCAGTCTTGAAAGGCTAGTTCTTCTCTGTCACGGAGGGCTCTGTTTGGCTTGGCTCAGCATCTTGACTCCTGAGGATAAGGGAATGGCTGCCGTGGAGAACTGGTGTTAGCAAATCCTCACTTTGCCAGCTTTCCCTTCCTGCCAGTCACTCCCAGAGCAGGGAGAGGAACTCACAAACACAGAGAATTCACCTTGAGACTGAAACCAGAGGTTATAATTCTTCCGTAAGGCAGAAGACAAGGTCGAGTTAACTTCATCCCCACCTCCAAGTCACTAGTGTTTTCCCATTTGGAGAGAGCTGGGGAGGCAGGTGTACCTGGGGGCCAGCATCAAGGGGCCTGAAGGACACAACTCCCAGGTGCAAGTCCTAGCTCTGACGCCGGTCACAAAAGTTTGAACAAGTCGTGAAACCTTTCATACACTGGTTCTTCACCTTGTGAAGCGGCTCACATTGTCACTCGGAGGATTGAATTAAGGGAGATAATGTATACAAAAACCTTTCGTAAGCACTGGGAGCATTTTATTACATGGACATGGTTAAGTACGATCCTTGGCTCATCAGTGCTGTCCAGGGAAGTATAACCTCCCTCTTAGAGCTGTTTCTAGAACCCAGTTATCTGCAGCTGCTCTTTCAAAGCCTCCCCATCTCCCCCGCCCCCCCCCCCCCAGCAGGGCTGAGTTTGGGACTGAGTTTGGGACTCTGTTTTGTCGGCTGCCCAGAGGCTCGGGGCTGAGTCCGGGACTCCCCAGCCCCACTGCTCTGGGTCCTCCGGGCATCTCTTTCTGCTCACTTTCCTGACCTATTGGGTTGGATTCGTTTCTCTCACTATTTACACCACCTCATATGTTATGTATCTCTGTCTCAAATTCTTCTGGGGACAAGGCAAGGTCTAATTAAGTACCTACGGTATACACAGAGAAACACTTATTTTGCATGCCATTAAAAATACGTCATGTTTGCGACTTAGGCTTGGTCATGGTAAACTACAAGACCTGAGATGAGCCACAGGAAAGCACCCAACATCGCTCCTGGCTTGTGAAAAGCCATCCTGCGAATGCCAATTTCACCAGAAATTCACCAGACTCTTCCAGGCACAAAGGCATTAAGTGGCTGCGTGGGCCTGTTAACGGGATTCAACCCACTCCAGGTTTCCTCCCGGCGTCTTTTGCCAGAACAATTTTGGTGGAGTAAGGGGTGAAGTGAAGTGTGCAGGCAGGACAACAGCTGAACTTGTTGAACCCAAGTAAGAGGTGGGTGTGGGGGGGTGTGGTGGAGGAAGGAATGAGGTGAGGCGCCGAAGCTCATGGACCGTAAACACAGCTTAGCTGGGAAGAAAAGGAAGGGGCCGTGGTGGTAAGGAGACTAGAGGTGGGCACAGGGATTTTATTGTTCTTTTAAGATGGAAAGAGAATTCGGGCTGCCCACCGACAAGAAGCCACTGGAAGCTGGGAGGTCTGGCGAAGAGCGCAGCGGCGGTGCGTCGACGTGCACGGGACGGAGGAGCGAGAGGGGAACCGGAGGCTCCGGTCCGCTAGGGGGCACGTGACCGCGTCCCGGCCGGCCCCTCCCTGTCCCGGACCAGTGAGAGGATGGGAGGGTTGGGTGAACCGCTGAATCCCTGCGCTCCTCCGCGGAGAGGTCCCTGGTACTGACTCGGGCCTCCGACGCTGGGGAGCGCGGCTGCTTCGCGGGCTCCGCGCCCGACGGGCAGAAAGTGCAAGACTAGCCGCGCGGGCTTCCAAGTCGCCCAGACGCGGCTGGAATCCCAGCTCCACTTACTAGCTGATCGTCCCCTGCTTTGCCTCAGTTTCCCCGTCCTAAAAGCGGGGCTAAATAGCGGTATGCGCCTCTCAGGGCTGTTGTGACGAATAAATGACACACCCTAAATAAAGCGTTTAGCGCCGAGCGGGTACCTAGCATCACACAACGGGGGCTGGGATCTTTATCGTCATCTTTTCCCAGCTCTCCAGGGCTGTTCGCGGTGAGGTTTGGTTGTCCCCAACGGTATAGGTGTTTGGACAGACTGCCACCAAGCTGGGCTCTCCGGTAGAACCACGAGGTGGGCGGGGTGGTGGTGACGTGGGACTTGGGGGCCGACCCAAACTCTCATACCTCCTCCACCTGCCCTGCTCCCAGAAAATTTGGCGGCGTTGTTGCCAGGACCGGACCGTCTGCGGGGTGGCTGCAGGGTTCTGCCCCACCGGCCCCCCAGCTCGCCCCGCTCTGTCTGGCTGGGCTGGTCCGAGGCGGCCTGATTCAGAATGACTTTGTACAGGTGAGTGTCACCAGAGCGCAGGGAAGTCACACCTGGCCATCGGAGAGTGGCCAAAAGTGGGGTCTGCGAATGCCAGGGCAGAGGGAGGCGAGAGCTGGTCTCTAAATTCAGTCCAACCCGCCCCCCACCCTCGCGTAGGTGGGGGCAGCGAGAAGGGGACCGCGCCTAGTGACGCTGCTGCTGTGCCCCCAGGGCACACTGGTTTTCCAGTTAAAAAATTCGACCTGGAGGCTCCGGTCCTCTTTCCTGCAGTCGAGATCGATCGCCTCGGGTACGTGTGTCCCCACCCACCCCCACGCGGGCTCTGGACGGTCGGGGAGCTAAGGCTGTGTCCCTTCCGTGGCTCCAGAAAATATCCTAACAGCAAGATTTTGGAATGTCCACTTTCAGGACCACGCACGCCCAGGGGCGCCAAAGAGTCTCTAAGGAGTTGGATAATAATTAACACCTTTCACCTGAAAGGAGACTCGGAGGTCTACCTTAATGTTTATAAACCACTTAGACGGTTCAGAAATACAGCTCGTGCCGTTTTATTCCCAAAGATTCTCTCTTCTTTGTAGAACAATCTTTCAGCATTGAAGTCACCTTGTGAAAACATGGTGAGATGATGTTTTAGGAGCATTTATATGAGGTCTGCTTTGTGCAAAGGATGCGACCGAGGGCAAGGGAAGCAGCCCGTGTACCCACCCAAGGTCCCTGGCTAAGGCGTTCTTTCCTCCAGTTTCCTTCCCCACCATCACCCCTCCCACCGCACATATCTTCCTGCATGGCCGCCCTAGGAATCCTTGCGCCCTGCTAGAAATGAGTACCAATAAATTTAAAGCAGATTAGTGCTTGTCCAATTTGGCTTTCCCTGTGCAACCGGACATTTAGAACCTTATGCAGAGGTCTGGGTTGTAATTGATGTATCCCTATGATCTTAAGGTTGCTGACTAGTGTGACCTTGGGGAAATTACAGTGTCTCTCAAGAAACTTCTTTTAAACTTTCCTTTGCTTCTAAATTTTCTTTTTCGTATAAAAAAAGTCTGCTTTTGAAATGGATACTTCCGATCTTGTCCTTCTAAGATGAGGCAACAAAATAATGGGAAAGGTAGACTTGGGGGCCTACCTTAATTTTCATAAGCTACGAAGGGTCAGAAATACATTTTTCCCTCTTTATCCCCAAGTTTTCTTTTAATTTATTTACTTTAATTGTTGTTCAACTTTTCTTTTTTTGTATTTTTCAAAAATCCGTTGACTTCTTCAGTCATTTGACACGGACAAGGAAGTCAGCCCCTGAGAATGGAAGAATGTGTTCACGAGAAAATGGTTCATAAGCATTAAAAAAGTACACAGTTGACAGAGGGTGAGGCGCCTGGATACACTCCACCCCAGGAAATGATTTGAAATGATTTAGTGAGTTTATTGCTTTGCAGTAAACTCAGTAAGTGGGGGTGGGTTGGCAAATTCGTTTCCTACCCTAAGGAGCATTTTAAAATATCATTCATTCATTCATTCATTCATTCATTCATTCATTCATTCATTCATTTATAGAGGGGAAGGCTTAGGGAGAGAAAGATCAGTGTATGGTTGCCTCTCGTGGGTTCCCTGCTGGGAACTGGCCTGCAACACAGGCATGTGCCCTGGCTGGGGACCAAACCGAGATCCTTTGGTTTCACAGGCCTGTGCTTAATCCACTGAGCTACACCAGCCAGGGTCTATGGAGCATTTTTATGTTCTGTGTAGAGCCTGTTCTTGATTTTTCCAGCAGTGCTCATAGCAGCGCCTTTCGAAGAAAGTACTCTTAACTACGTCCACTCTACTCTACTGTGGAAATTGAGGAAATTCCCCAAGGAATACACTGGAGGGAACAGATTGGTTTTCAGCTGTATTTGAGGCTAAAGCAAATTTTTTTTTTTAATCGTGTGGGATATTTTACTCATTTTATTCTGTGAATATTTGCTGACACTACTATGTGAAAGCTATTGTCCTAGGTGCTGGGGACACAGCTATCCCAACCTTCTGGAGAGGGGGCATCTGTAGCATAGTTGCCATCATCAGCTGCTCACTTTTAACCTCTCTCTTCTATACAGCAGAATTGTTTTCTCTAATAATCAATACTAATGGTTATTTTCTTTCTTATTTAATTTTAAGACAATTAAAATTAAGCTACACCCTGGCTGGTATAGCTCAGTGGATTGAGCACGGGCCTGTGAACCAGACAATCGCAGTTCGATTCCCAGTCAGGGCACATACCGGGGTTGCAGGCCAGTTCCCAGCAGGGGATGCATGAAAGGCAACCATACATTGATGTTTCTCTCCCTCTCTCCTTCCCTTCCCCTCTAAAGATAAATAAATAAAATCTTTAAGTTAAAAAAAAAATTAAGCTACAGTTTTTAGAGAGACTCAAGTTGGGTAAAATACTTTATGTATGAGTTAGAATCCTTATATCCCCCCAAAATATTATACTTGGCAGTTTATACTGTTGTTTTCTTTATTTTAATTGTTGTTCAAGTACAGTTTTCTGCCCTTTACTCCCATCCCAGCCAACCCCCAAGTTTATACCGTTTTAAAGCATAAGTAGTAAAATATGCTAATTTGAAGTTCATACATGTTATTAAAACTTAACAGTAACTGGAGCAATTGCTTAGAATTTAGATTATTATGCTCTTGAGAAAATGATTGAGGTCCCCAAAGAGCTTTTGCTTGTGTGGGTTGTATCTATTCCTATTAAAACTGAGAAAATCAGAAACTATTTATTTATTCAGTTGTTAAGAATAATAATCAGCCCTTGCTGCATGACTCAGTTGGTTGGAGTGTCGTCCACACGAATACCAAAGGGTTTTGGGTTTGATTCCCCAGTCCGGGCGTGCAGGAGGCAACTGATTGATGTTTCTTTTTCCCGATTCCTCTCTCTCTAAAAAAATCAATAAATATATCCTCAGGTGAAGATCTTTTTTAAAAAGGATAATAATCATAAGCCTACCAGATGGTATAATAAGGTATGTTCATGAAAAATAGCTAAAATGAGTTGAAGGCTTGACGGGGGCTGATGGATACACTTCAGTTCACTCAGGTTCCTACTGGCTGCGAGGGTCAGCTCTCCGCCTGGCTCTGCACCCGCGACTCACAGCCTGGCAGCTGACCTCCCAGAGCTCACTGTCTGAGAGAGACAGAATGTGCCACCAACACAAAAGCCACAGTGTCTTCTAGACCTAATTTCAGAAGTGATCTTTGCTGTTATCTGTCAAAACAGAAGAAACCTTAAGCAATAATTTCATTATTTCAATTAGTTGCAGGGGTTGGATATACATTTTAGCTGAAACCTTATTGAAAAAAAAATAGGAAAAGCCCAGTTGTAAGTTACCACTCAACCCAAGCCAAATGATAACTTTGGAAGCAACGTGGTTGCTGAAACAATAAATGAATGGTCTAACCCCTCCTGGGTCTTGGAAACCGTACACCCTTGCCAAGAAGGAGTGAGGGAGTAAGCCTGTGCATCACTTATCCACACTGGACTCCTCGGGGGTGGGGTCTATTCCTGATCCATCTTCGTGTTCCAGATCATTGTCTGGTGCATTTTTACTAAATTAAATGGGATTTTTGCAAAATTTATACATATCTCTAATATATGTTTATATTGTATACATACCGTATAAATACCCTGCTTGGGTGAATAGCCTACAAGAGCAGGCTATGCCTCATATACACGTATTTCCATATTATACAAACTACAGCAGGGGTGCCCAACCTTTCGGCGTCTCTGGGCCGCACTGGAAGAAGAAGAGTTGTCTTGGGCCACACATGAAATACACAAACACTAATGAAAAGTGATGAGCAAAAATCAGGTTTTAAGTAAATTTACGATTTTGTGTTGGGCTGAATTCGTAGCCATCCTGGGCCGCATGTGGAATGCGGGCTGCGGATTGGACACACCTGTGTGTAAATTGTCCAGAGGAGTCATTTGCGTGTGACCACTGCTGACGTTAGCTGTGTTTGAGGATTCCATCTAATATGTGCCTCCTCTGATTAAAACCACTCCCTAGAGCGCCAATTGTTTATAATACTGTCTCTAAAACATTTTCCTAAATAAAAAGGTGAAGTGATCCTTTTTGATACATACTTAATGGACACGTTTTTACACTCAAGCCAGGACTGGAGATAGTGTTCCCACACTCCCACCAGCAGTGTCCCTGTGCCACACAGTCCCCCTTCTCAGCCAAAGGGGCGTCACTGCGCCCTCGTGATGTGTTCGGGAGCATTCTCCACTGAGGCTCCTTACTCACAGGAACGGCCTCTTCCTGCAGCTCATTTTAGCCTGTGGACAGTCCTGGTCTGCAATGGCTGAGGAAGTGGGCCAGAGAGTGGGGCTGGACTGGGACAAAGAAACTGCGAGAGGGTATAATAGGATGCTAAAATGCCAGTTTTATGAACACTCGGTGCATTTTTAAGGAAATGGTTGACAAAGCACAGGGTTAAGACCAGCAGGTAACTGGGGAGGTACAGTTGTGCAACAGCTTATTTCTAAGTATTGCTTCTTAGCTGCTGCCCAGAGGTTTTGATATATGGTGTTTTCACGATCACTTAGGTCACACTATGATCTAATTTCCAGTGTGATTTATTCTTTGACCCATGGTTATTTAGAAGTATATTTCTGAATGTTTGAGAACAGGATTTCTCTGCTCACTTAATTGCATGGGGAGCAGAAAATATACTTCATAGGTATTTAAGTTCTTTGAAACTTTGGACTCTTGTTTTATGATTCAGAATTTGTTCAACTATTATAAGTGTTCTGTGTACATTTGAAAAGATTGTTTTATAGTCCTTAAGTGCAGTGTTCTGTATATGTTCATTTACATCAAGTTTGCTGATGGCTTGGTTCAAATTCTTACTAATGTTTTGTTTGCTTTCTCTATTAGGAAGAATAGTGTGCTAAAATCTTTCACCTTGATTGTGGATTTGTGTATTTCTTATTGTAGTTCTATCAATATTTTGCTTCATATACTTTGAGGCTATATTATATGAATAAGAATCTTGCTCTGAACTGAGTATTTTACTTTTGAAGTATTCTTCTTCATCTGTGGTTTTGGATTTTTGTCTTAAAAGTGCACTTCATTTGATATGAGTATAGAGATAGCAACTTCATCTTGGTTACAATTGGTGTAGTTATCTTTTTTTTATCGTCGGGTTTCTACATCCTTGTGTTTTAGCTCTTTCTCTTGCAAACCACATATAACTGGGCATCTCTTTTTCCTTCGGTTTGACTAGCTTTGTGTGGTAACTGGAGCATTT